GTTTTTTGATCTTTTTTTTCCCCTCCCCGCCCCCTTGTTCAAATTTTGGGCCCCCAACCAAGACCCAAAAACACACATTTCTCTTTCCCCTCACCCCCCCACATGCTGTGGTCACTTCACTGTTCTACATTCATTTCACAGGTCATGAGGATGATGTAATAAAATATGTTATGGTATAGGTTGTTAATATTAGACTCATTTCATCTTTGTATGTCCACTCACCTTCCAGAAGAGGTGCTGGGGAGTGTGGGAAACGGCCTGTTGGCCTTTGCTTGCTACATATACACATGCACCCAACACACACACACAAAATTGCGCAAGCACATACACATTCACACAAACACAAACAAAAACTTTACTTTACATAGAAGGTTCTAGGGAGTTTGGGAAACTGCTCATCCCTGTTGGCCTCTGCCAGCCGCCCTCTCCTCTACACACACACACACACACACACACACACACACACACACACACAGTAGATTGCAGTGTCTTCAGAGAATACTGATCTACTGTATGTGGTTTGCTCACATTGACTATAGACATGGCCACTAGTCTTACCTTCAGCACCTTCAGAATAGAGATCTCAGTCTCCAGACGACGACACTCCCCCTCAGACAGGGTCAACCTGGACACAGGAAACAGTCACACACTGCTCTGTTCCCCTACACCACCACCACATGCTGTGGTCACGTCACTGGTCTACATTCATTTCACAGGTCATGAGGATGATGCAATAGAGGTATAGAAGAGATGTTAGAGGGGCAATTCACTGCTTTTAAAGTTGATTTCTCTCCATAGCACCATACCAGTAGACTCATATATTCAATCTTACCAGTGCCTATAGCAAATCAATCAAATAGATTTTATAAAGCCCTTTTTTATATCAGCAGTTGTGACAAAGTGCTTATACAGAAACCCAGCCTAAAACCCCAAACTGCAAGCAATGCAGAAGCACAGTGACTAGGAAGAAACCAGCGGAGGATGCTGATGGGAGGACGGCTCATAGTAAAGGGTGGAATGGAATCAATGGAATGGTATCAAACATATGGAAACAACATGTTTTTATTTTTTATTTTTTTTGTCATTTAGCAGACGCTCTTATCCAGAGCAACTAGGGTTAAGTGCCTTGCTCAAGGGCACATCGGCATATTTTTCACCTAGTCGGCTCGGGGATTAGAACCAGCGACCTTTCGGTTACTGGCACAACGCTCTTAACCACTAAGCTACCTGCCGCCCCGAATGTTTGATACCATTCCATTGACTCCATTCCAGCCATTACTATGAGCTGTCCTCCCCTCAGCAGCCTCCACTGGAAGAAACCTCGAGAGGAACCAGGATCTGAGGGTTGGCCAGTCCCCTTCTTTACCAGTAGAGAACAGACTAGTACAGATATGAATTACACCCGGGGGGTCTCTATTATTTTTAATGATAAAAATATGTAAATTAACGTAAAAATAAAGAACTTTTAATGTGGCATGAACACAACCAGTCATGATGCTTTCATCTGCTTGTCAAACTAATCACTTCAAAAAGTAGGCTACCTGTGCATGTTCATCCACTCCAAAATAATTTCAGCTTCCAAACAGTGCACTGCATGTATACTCACACCATTTGTTGAATGGAAATAGACATCTGTTTACAAAACACCATAAAGAGTGCATAATGACATTCAGAGATTGCCATTGATTAGACCTACATGAATTGATGCTTCTTGCTGACAAATTGACCTTTTTTGGGACACATTTGAAATGGAGCTGAAACTGTCCCAGTAAAAACTGGATGGTCACCCTAACACAAACGGTCAATTTACTAGACTAGGCTACAATGTGTATTACCATGAACTTCAAATAGGCCTACCGGTAGCCAGTGATGTAGTGGTCAAAATATTGGGGGGTAAACTCTGTTTACCGGTCGCGGAGAAAAAAGCAACGCTCCATTTCAATGCATTTTTCTGAAAAAGGTGGGTCAACTTCCTTTCCTTACGTTTACCCTGCACTAGGCCTAAACCACTACCGGTAGCCTACACTCTCAGACGAGACAATTTTACACACATGAACACACGCAGAACAGGTAGTCTACATTCATTATAATACATGAGTTGAATCAAAACATGTTTACACGCTAGTTCATGAGTTGTCCATAATTCATGAATGCTCGGAGTCTTCATAGATCATGTGACATAAAACGCTACCTTTCTTTCCTTACATTAATTACATTTATTATAGTTGTATTTGTAATTACTAAGCATTTAAAAATTGAAATAGAACATTGAACTTAAACCCTGTACGAATCCTGGATCTTGGAGATCTCAGAAAGTGCACTGTAAGTGTAACTATGCCTAAGTAATATTTAATTATGTTTCGGCGTGAAAAATGTTCTCATGGGCACACAAATCCAAAATAATGTAGACATGCCATTGCAAAACTGAATACTTCTAACGGAAAGAGTCAATTATAGGCCTACTGTCATTAACCTATACTTGTTGGATGGATTGGATGCGCATTGGTGTCTAACTGTACTTATTTAGGGTGGGGGTGGGGGGGAATCAGCTTTAATATTGCAGATAGATTGTAGGTTCCATCAATTCAATTGTTTGCATCATTTTCCAATCTCCCTTATTCTTTTAGTTTCTCCATATCCACTCTGAGGGGTGGCCCTGGCTGTACCAGGTAGATAATAGATCATATACTCTATGTCCACTCATATCCACTCTGAGGGGTGGCCCTGGCTGTACCAGGTAGATAATAGATAATATACTCTATGTCCACTCATATCCACTCTGAGGGGTGGCCCTGGCTGTACCAGGTAGATAATAGATCATATACTCTATGGTCCACTCATATCCACTCTGAGGGGTGGCCCTGGCTGTACCAGGTAGATAATAGATAATATACTCTATGTCCACTCATATCCACTCTGAGGGGTGGCCCTGGCTGTACCAGGTAGATAATAGATAATATACTCTATGTCCACTCATATCCACTCTGAGGGGTGGCCCTGGCTGTACCAGGTAGATAATAGATAATATACTCTATGTTCACTCACATTCCAGAAGAGGTGCTGGGGAGTTCTCCACTCTCCTCCCCTGCTGGCTTCCTTTCCATCTCAGAGGCAGCTTCCTCCTCCCACAGACACACACACACACACACCACACACACACACACACACACACACCACACACACACACACACACACACACACACACACACACACCACACGTCATACACGGCTATACAGAAATATATTCACAGCTTTTTGTCTAATGGTGTGTATGTGTGTAGGGATGCAGTCTGACCCCCACCACTCATAGTGTACATGAGAGATTAGTTAATTATCTAGACTGTATGTGTGGACTGTATCATTTCATACTGTAGAACTGACTATGACAGTGAGTACAGGTGTTTTAACATATGAGGGTAGAACTGTAGAACTGACTATGACAGTGAGTACAGGTGTTTTTAACATATGAGGGTATAGAACTGACTATGACAGTGAGTAAGGGTTTTAACATAGAGGGTAGAATGACTATGAAGGGGGGTACGGTGTTTTTAACATTGAGGGTGAAATGATCCTAAATTCTCAAAACCGTCCTCTTACCTGTGACCTGGCTGCCCTGAGCTACAGAAAATTCCTAACAGACAAAAGGAAGGAGGAGGAGGACCTGGAGGGAAAACCACATGGGAAAAGATGTTCGGGGCCTGGGGGGAAAATAAGGACAGAGAGATTGGGGCTGTACCAGAAAAAAGAGCTAAAACCACCCATTTTAAAATGAAATATACTCTATGTCCACTCATACCCACCTGGGGGGTGGCCCTGGCTGTCCAGGTAGAATAGAAATATACTCATGTCCCTCATATCCATCGAGGGTCCCCCGCGTCCCAGGTGAAAATAGTAATATACTCTTTTCCCCTCATATCCCTTGGGGGTGGCCCGGCTGTCCCAGGTAGATAAAGTTTAAAACTCACCCACCATTCCCATCTGGGGGGGCCCCTGGTTTTTCCCAGGAAAAATAGATAATATACTTATGCCACTATACCACTCTGGGGGGTGGCCCGGGTGTCCCGGAGTAATAGTAATATACTTATGCCCCTTTAATTCCCTCGGGGGTGGCCCTGGTTTGTGGGGAGATAATAGAAAATTACTTATTCCACCATTCCATTTGAGGGGGGGCCCCCTGGCTGTACCAGGTAGAAAAAAAATATACTCTATTCCACTAATCCCTTGAGGGGGGGCCCTGGTTTAACCCAAAGGGAAAAAGAAAAATATACTTTTGTCCACTCATATCCCTCTGGGGTGGCCCTGGTTACCAGGTGAAATAGATAATATATCTATGTCCACTCATTCCACTCGAGGGGGCCCCTGGTTTGTACCAGGAGAAAATAAATTTTTCCTATGTCCATAACCCACCTGAGGGGGGCCCTGGCTTTGCCCAGGTAGAAATGATAATATACTCTATTTCATCATATCACCTGAGGGGTGGCCCGGGCTGTCCCAGGTAGATAATAGATAATATACTCTATGTCCACTCATCCCACTCTGAGGGGTGGCCCTGGCTGTACCAGGAGATAATAGATAATATACTCTATGTCCACTCATATCCACTCTGAGGGGTGGCCTGGCTGTACCAGGTAGATAATAGATAATATTACTCTATTGTCCCACTCATATCCACTCTGAGGGGTGGCCCTGGCTGTAACCAGGTAGATAATAGATATATACTCTATGTTCACTCACATTCCAGAAGAGGTGCTGGGGAGTTCTCCACTCTCCTCCCCTGCTGGCTTCCTTTCCATCTCAGAGGCAGCTTCCTCCTACACACA